AAAAGGAGATGTTCCTGCTTCACCACTGGGGGTGCAGGAGAGGAAGAAGACTACAAGTGCTGTGGGGGTGAGGAAGTGGAGAACACAATAGTTTACACATATCCACATACCTCATCGTTTTCACTCCATGAGTGACTGGGCTTCGCTAATACTCAGTCTCAAATGCCTGAACCTGTTTTTTCTTCTCTCCACAAACAGACTAATGGATCAATGACTCGCAGGAACACATATGTGTGTGAACGATCTTCTACTGACCGCTATTCAGCTATTCCCAATGGCAAAGACAGCAGGTAAACACAAAAACCTTCTCACTTCACTACAGGTTGAGGTCTAACTCTCCATGTTCTCCGTGTTTTTCAGTCTTGTCCAAGCACATTTTCTGTCTAATTTGATAGCACGTAATACAAACCCTATTTTACAAATGAGGAAGTTTTGGTGAAATATCTTTATCCTTGGTCCTCAGTTTAACCGAGGTGTCAGGTAGCACCCCATCGACTGCAATGAGCTCCACACGACCTCGTCACACCAAGTCCATGTCATCATCAGGGCATCCTTCTAAAAGCACACTGCCCCCCATTGATGACAACACAGAGCTGAAAGCCAGGTGAGCAGCCTGATCCAGACACTGTCATCAGTCTATGTGGTAAAGACACTGATGCTGACCGTATTTATAATTCACTTCTAAATTACAGTATACCTAGTGAGCATGCTGATGTGCAGAACATACAGTGATCTCTCTGATAATGTTTGTTCATGTTGCAGCTCCTCTCCTCGGGGTCCCTCCACCTCTCCGTCTGCACACAGTATTAGCACCCCAGAGAAGAACCGTTTCCCCCGTGGTACCACCAGTCGCAGCACCTTCCACGGAGCTCAGCTCAGAGACCGGCGCAGCGCTACCTACAACGGCCCCCCGGCTTCACCCACACTTTCCCATGATACCGGGGCTCTCGCTCAGCAACGCAGGGGCACGTCCACTGGGATCATCAGCAAGATCACCTCAAAGTTTGTCCGCAGGTCAGTGAAGACAAACGGCTGCACAAATGATACACTAGGTTATACTTAACACTTGTTGCACCTTATAGTGAAGGTATTCACATCCCCTTTGGCGGGGATTGTGAAAGGCATGTTGAAGTCACAAACATTTGGTTTGAGTGTCAAGTCTTAACTATCTCAAACCACAAGAATAAAAAGCCTAAGTGTGCTTTTTTTATACTACTTGAGTGAATAAAGAACCATTATTTATGAAATTGTAAACAGAATAGTTATTTTTAATTATTGTTATTTTCCTGCTTAGTCAGACAAACTCACTGATGCAGTGTTATGCATTTGCATGCAGTCTGAAGGTTTGTTATATGATGAAATGAATAGCTGATCTTTGCTTAATTACTTATCACACTGAATGCCAGTTGGATGAAGTACTACTATCTCTGTTCACTAAATTCCAATTTAGACTTCTTCCAAGATGGACGACTGCTCAAGCAAAGTGTTGTAATTATCAATTTGACTGCGCGTCATCTGCTTTCATTGTTAAATAAGAATTACTTTAAACCAAACTTGTCCACTTTCTCTTTACATGCACCCACAATATGAATCTTAATATGCTTAATATCTTATTCTTAATTTGCTTATGGATTCAAAACAGTACGTAACAAGATACAGCCATATCAGAAGCTCTGTGAGGCTGTACTTTGTTCTTGTCAGCATGCAAACATGCTCACAATAACATACTGTAGCTTCTACAATGGGCATTATCATAGTTTAGCATGTTAGCATGCTAACATTTTGTAATTGACACAAAACACAAAGTACAGCTGAGGTGGATGTGAATTGTTTTGCAGGTATTTAATTTTAGAAATTTTGACTAAGAGCTAAAAATGGCTATTGCTGGCTATTCAGTGGGATCAGGTAGCTGCAGATCCCATAGATATCCAGAGCTACATTGAGATACTCAAGATAGTTTATCTTATCTTCAGCTTTAAGTGCATGCAGAGACAAAAGACTCTCAATGGATGTGTCTTCTGGTAACGCTTAAAAAAATAGTAATACTCCCAAAACCAAACTATCTAAAGAGATTTAAGGAGTACTTGGTGCAAAATGTGTTCAAAGTAATTTTATGTAAACTTTTTCAGCAGTGAAAACAAAGAAAGCATCACACACTCTCCCTGCCTCTTTAGAACAGATACACTCCCTTACCTGTTCCCAGTATTTACTTTAGCTCATGATACATCCACACTGATACCCTTTGCTGTCAGTATGGCAAGCAAAGGAGAGAACCTCCTCATCAGCAGTTAGCTCCTTGTGTCACCTTCACGCTGGCCCATCTGGTAGAGGCTCACAGCTTTCTCTCCTTTTCTCCCCGCATAGAGCTCTGTCTTTCAGGTCGACCCGGAGGTAGGAGAACACAACGCTTGCTGCACCTGTCCCTCCTGTTAAAAAAAAAAAACACCCCCAAAAAACCTCTTTGTGCTCACTATGACCTTGGCCCGTGTTTTCTTAACCCCTTATGTACTTGCCCACTACACCACATCCTTGCCTACTGACACCCTTGTTATGCCGTGTATTTCCTTCCCTTGTGCCCACTGCCTCGAGAAACAAAACTCACGGCTCACCAGCTTTCCCCTGTACTAAGCTAAGCCACGATATCTGCTTCTAAAGTTGCTGGCTTTGCCTCTCCTTACTCTCCCCCGTCTCCATGCTGAGCTTAAGAGAAAAGATCAGGCAAATTAAGGAGGCCAAATCAAAGATTTAGAACCACTTTTCCACCTTCAGTGGGGATTAAGGAAAGGTAGCGTACAGTAGATGGGATGATGCGTTTGGTTATGTGAAGGAGCTACAATAGTATGTGCCTCAAGAAATCACCTCATTGTGTGCTGATCCCTGATACCCAGGACTGTGGATTCTTTCCTGGCATGATGCCTGACACCCCTCTCTGTGTCCAGTGATGATGGGGTTGGTGGTGGTAGCGGGTGGGGGAACCCATGTTGATATCGGCTTGCGGAAGTAACCGTGTATTTCTGGTTTGTTTCAGGGTGCCTAGTGAGGGAGAGGCCAGTGCCAGGACAGAAACACCAAGGTGAGAGTTTGATTGAGATGTAGATTTCACAGAGAGCCTGTAATCAACATCTGCCTGCTTCAACCCCTCACCAATTCTTTTTCTCTCTCTCCGTCTCTCATCTTCGGGTTGTTATAGAAGTGTGTCAGGTGATACTAAGGAGGACGTCAGTCGGGACTCCAAGCCTCGCTCGCTGCGTTTCACGTGGAGCATGAAGACCACCTCCTCCATGGAGCCCGCTGAGATGATGAGGGAGATACGAAAGGTTCTGGACGCCAACAGCTGCGATTACGAGCAGCGCGAACGCTTCCTGCTTTTCTGTGTCCATGGCGACGCTCGCCAGGACAACCTGGTCCAGTGGGAGATGGAGGTGTGCAAGCTGCCCCGCCTTTCACTCAATGGCGTGCGCTTTAAGAGAATATCAGGCACGTCCATCGCCTTTAAGAATATCGCCTGCAAAATTGCCAATGAGCTCAAACTGTGACAGCAGATGGAATCCCAGTCAGTCTTTGGTGAGCTCTGGTTACAGTCTCATCTCATCACTGGATTAGTGTTGACTTAAAGGACAAAATTCAGCACTGAAGGTCCTCACCATGCAGAATCAGGGTGGACTCGGCTGGTAACGTGCAATACTGGCCACGAATGTACTGTACAGGGTTGTGGATCAGAGAGGTATCGCAAGGTTTTACCTTTGTGATGAAGAGATAGCAAAAACAGCTAACCCCCTTTTTTTTCTCTTCCGTCCGGCCCTCTGTCTCTCATCAGCCCGCTGCTCCTCGTCATAGGACACATTCATGTAACACATGCAGTATGCAACTGAAGATGACCATCCTGCAATAATGTTTTCAATCTCTTTTTCTAAAATGCCTATTACAAGATCTACTCTCCTCGCTGAATAACCATTAAAATTACTGAAAGCTAAAATAGCCGCTTTTCGACCTGTGTTAAGTCAGTATATAGATCAGGCTGGAGCCCATACTAAAACTATGTAAAAAGAGAATTGTACTGTATGCATAACATCTGCAGGTACTGTATTGTATATTGATTTTACGTTCTGTACAGAATTTTATTGTCAATACTGTCTTTTTTCATGGGATTTGAGTTCTTTCCTAATATAATTGATGTCTCTTAAAGCATTATCCTTTCAGTCTGTGAGGTTTTTTTTTTTTATTCTTTTTTTAAAGAGCCACCATATGAAAATAGTGTTTTTAATTTTATTTAAAGAGCACTAAATTATTTTGTTGATTATTAAGGGGTGTGCTCCCTTGCCTTTTATGTTATATTTTATTTGCCTACGGAAAAAAACACTAAGTTGCACCACATAGACTTGAGTAGTAACTTCAGTTAAAACTGAAAATGTGTTCACTTTATTTTCTCTCAGCAGTAGGTAGGTGATTTGGAGTTCCTGCTGCAGTTGCACAAGTTTTCCAGGGTGATGTGTATGAACATGAGAGTATGCACCTGTATTTCTTTCGTGTTAGTTTGGTAGTCCTCAATTACAAAAAAGCAGGGTTTAAATTGGTTTACTTTAGAAAGCGGACGGGACAGGACATCCAAAGGACTGAAGATGCATGAAAAGTCAAACAATCACCATGAAAGAAACAGTTTGTCTTGTGGCGGCTTTCTAAAGAGCCTGATTTAGTCCTGCCACCAGTGTGATTATGCAGGTACTTGTGTATCTCCTTGCTTGTGTTTTTCTTTTCTTTCTTTTTTTTAATTCAGCGGATTTTATTGTATTTATTCCATTACATTGTAATGTGCTGCTTTGTAGAATTGAGGCGTGCACTTTGTTGGAGAAAATAAAAAGGATTTTATTTGTTTGTATTTATTTTATTTAATTTATGAATTACACATCTAACTTCAAGATGACATTTTCCCTCAAGCAGTGAAGTGGTGTGTTATTGCTTAACCAAATATAGCATGATATTAGTCAATAACGTAATCCTAATCATGACACAATTGATGTATTTTGCATACATGTTAGTCAAAGGTAAAGCATTATGAACAATATCCTCAGTTTTTCATTTCAGTTCCTTTAAGTGTGTGAAAATAGTTCCAAGTTTTCCCAAAATGTTTTCCATACGTCTTATGAAAAACTGTATTTTCAATACTTTAAACATTATAAACCATTAACGATAAAAATGTAATTCACAAGGATTTACAGGTAGATTCTCACACAACATTTCTGTTGATATTTCCCAAATTATAAACATAATTTCAAATCATTCTCCTTAACAAATATGTATCTAACTGGTGTGGTCCCTCTTAAACTTACAAAAACCTCATTTACAAATCTTTTAGCGTACAAGTGGAAAGACAGAAAAATTTGTAAACATTTCGTTTTGGCAGATTTGTTCAGTTAAACATGTTAATAGGTTAAAAAGTACTGTTTCAATATTATTTTCTGTAGATAAATATATGAGATTACAAATGTAAAAACAATGCAGAGTCACATGAAAAAGCTGAACACAAAAAAAAATTACTTACTGGCCAATGCAAGATTTAATGGATTAATGAGAATGGATGCGGCATTTATCAGGATGAGACGGCCATGTGAGGCCCTGGTCATGCATTAATGTCTTGACAACATATTGGGTCTAGTCCTAACTTGAGAGGCGTTCACTGAACTCAACATGCATCTCAGCCAAATATATTTGGTTGAGATCATGTATCATGCACTAATTTCAATGGAAGATTTTAAAAAAGGAAAGGGTAATGCATGCCTTGCTCAAGTTAGGATCAACTGATAATCCTGTTCAGCACTGGATCTGTTGCAACAGCCATCTCTAAACATCTCAAACCACTCAAACAATCAGCCAATCAGTCAAGAAAACAATCACTCAGTTGCTCAAATCAATGACCAGGTGCTCATAAATCTGAGTTTTCCCTTTGAAACTTGAGGCCAGCAGGAACTGCCGGTTGTCTATGGAGACTGGAGAGAAGGCCCTTGGCGCCTGGATGTTCACCTCCTGGAAATGAACAAACTCACCCTTCTTGGCATCCCAGCGGTACACCTGGGTGAAAGAGTAATCGCTGCCCAGGATGGCGTACTGCCAGCTTCCCACAGTAAAGGGTTGAAACACCATGGAGCCACGAGAGGGCATGGTCTGCAACTCTCTGAAGAGGGCTCCGTCCCAGCGCATCACTTTGGAGTCGCCAATGAAGCGCGTTAGACAGATGAAGAGGTCGGATTTGACCTGAAAATGCTTCACAGCGTAGACGTCCTCCATCTCTGGGATGTCGGTGCGTCTGTCAAAGAGCTTGGAGCTTTTGTTCCACTGGTAGATGACCGGCCTCTGGGAGCTGCTTGACAGGATCAGGTGAGGTTTGGAGGAGATCTCCATGTACTCCACATCAGTGTCCCGGTACCACAGGTGGAGTGATTGATGAGTGTAGAAGCCATTGCCGTTCCACTTGTAGATGGTGGTGGAACCGGCCTTGGAGCTGTCTGCTATTACGAAGAAGGATTCTCCATCGATGCGGAACGTCTCCACATCGTTTGGTTTGCGGGTTTTGAGGATGTCAATGCCTTGGAGCTTGATAAATTTGTTGGCAGAGGTGTCTCGCTTATAGATGTGTGAGCCGCCAAACAGCTGAGCCACAATGATAAAGAGCTGGTTGTCAATGACCAGAGGTTTGCAAATCACTGTGGATGTGCCTGGTGAAGAGACAGAAGGGATAGACACAGCACAGTTTCACTTTGTCTTGTCTCCATCTAGTGGTTCCTCCTCAAACCTCACCCCCTCCTTTTAAACTCACACAGCTCATTCACAACAGCATTACAGGATATTTGAAATGACCTTTACTTACTGTCAATATCATCGTAGTTTCTGAAGACCATCTCCACATGATCCCACTCTAGAAAGCTGCATTTCCCAATGAAGGGCTGGGCAAACACCACATACTGGTCATCCCCAAAGGAAAATGCCTCTACCGATATGGATTCAAACTTCAGGGACTGGTAGGAAGCAAACTCTGTGAGAGAAACAAAAACACTTCAGATCAGTGGTTCCTCGCCATACTCCTTGAGGTACCCCTTTTCTATCATTGAGTAACCTGACGACTTCTGATTAAGTGACATATTTTATGGATATTATATTCAACAGAACAGAACAACTGATACATTGTACAATGGACCCAGATAGTGAACTCAATAAATGCAGGAAGTTTATTTAAAATGAACAATTTGGATGAATTTTAAGCAGATTATGTAAATATTGCATCAGAAATGCAGATATTTTTAGAAACATTTTATACAATTCTCTGTAGTATGTTTTTTTTTAATATATATATATAACAATAGGCTTTCTTTCTTCTCCCTGACACTTGGCCACCGTTCTGTTAGCTCTTTGGTTGTTTTTGGTTGCTAATTTTCAAATGCAGAATGAGGCTGTTTAGCAAAGAGTGAAGGCTCTGTGAATATCGCTTGTGTCGAGCCTTTCAAAGTGTAGATCAATATTAATCTAATGAAATGAAGAGATATAGGCCAACTGTGTATATTTTTTAAAGTTTTCTTACACTCCTTAAAATCAAGAGGTCTAACCTTAGTGGCGGTCCCAACCCCCCAGGTTAAAAGTCAGGAGAAGCTGTGATGATTGTAAAAAAGGTTACATTTAAAACCATGCTCTATTCTCCACCTGTAGTGATGCAGTCGAAGGACTGTGGCACTAGATCGTTGATCTTCTTGTCCAGCTGTAAGGCCGGGCCTTTACAGTAAATCTGATCCACTGTAGCATTGGTGCTGTATATCCACTCCACCAACCACTTCAGCTTACAGTCACAGGTGAACTGGTTCCCTCGCAGGTCTCTGAAGGGAGAAAACCACCAAACTAACTTCCAAATCTTTAAAGGCTCACAGGAATGTTCTTAGCTCTTTGAATGGATTTTATTTTCAAATGCTGCAGTCACTGAAATATGACTGCTGGCTTTGCTCTCTGGCCCTCACAGCCTCACTCTGTGCTCTCATTAATATCAAGAGGGGCTATAAAGGAACATCTTCAGTGGGTGATAGATGGCAAACTATCTCTCTTCCTCACTGCCGCATGTAATTTTAATGGTGTTAAAAGCACCTCCCACACATTTTTCAAGCCTTGGCAGAAGTGGAATAATGATACAGTGTTCTATATATAGAAGAACTCATTGTCCACAATCAAATTCATTATGCTTTTAGTTATGTAACACTTTTGCAATTCATCTCTTTGTTTCATACTCACACTTTCGTCAAGGCCTCAAGACCCTTGAATAAATCTTTGGGCAGAGTCTCCAGATTATTGTAGGCCAGACTCCTGAAAAAGAGGAAAAAATGGCAGCAGTTCTGTGACAGTTGATCAAATTTACCACTTATTGTTCTTATTTCATCATCTCTTCAACAGACAGACCCCCTCATCCTTCCCTCTTTATACTATTAAATGCTGATGATGCACATAATCTACTATTTGTGCGTTCATTGTCAGTGTTTCTTCATAGAACCTAAGTGTGGATGTGGTTTTGAAGCGTTTCCTTGCAGTTGAATGTAAGGATATCTGTTTTAATGAGCTTGGGCACCATATAGCCACCCTGGAGTATGAAGGCAGGAACATTGCTTATTGTAAGTTTGAGGAAACATTAAGCTATTTTTAGAGCTTCCTCCTCAGCCATTTTATGGCTTTCTCTGCCACGAAAATGAGGAAAAGAGTAGATCTTTCTGTTGAGGAGGTGGTTGTAGTTTTTCATTTTCTCAGAGCTTTATCTTAAAGTATCATGACACCATGTTTTTGATATTGTGGTTTTAACTCTACTTTTTTTTATGTCTGTCTAAAACAAATTAAGGTGGCTAATTGTATTTGTTTTGCTGACATCAATGCAAAATGTAAGTGTTTTTTTGCTTACATACTTACACATACATACTAGTCAATCTGTAACAGAATGTATATATAATCGTTCTTAGACTTCTTAGTTTTATTAAGTTGGACAGTTAAGGTGCTTTGTAATCGTATATAACACCTGCACACTGTCCAGAGAAATGTCTGTGTGGCAATAAATGTTATGTAATAAACTTCATCAGCACTTCACTGGAACAATGCTTTCCTGCACCTGCGGACAGATTACAACAGTTTCTACAGATACAAATACCAGAACGCTTCTTTACATTCATCAGTGTAGCAAAATTTACATCATCTGCTAACTCTTAGTACCATTTTTTGATGAAGAATACAGTATAAACTTACAGATGCACTAAGGTTTTCAGTCCACGGAAAGCATTTGGTGAAATCGACTTGATTTGGTTGTTTTCGATGAACCTGAAAAAGATGTTGAATAATGAGAAAGGGAGACAATCATCTTGTCTTCTATGAAACAGCTTCTGGGATAACTTAGTGTCATCTACTCACAGATACTCCAGATGAGGAAGACCAAGGAAAGCATCCTCGTTTATAGATTCCAGGTTGTTGGCTGTGAAGAGGCTGTGCAGAGAGATCCATTATATTTCACTATTCCTGCTCACAAATTGGATAACAACTGGCTGTTGTCCCACATTATTAGCTGTATATGTAAAAGATGGCCTGCGATAGAAAACCTTCTCCTTTCTTCTACCAAATGCATCAAAGACAAGGATCAATGCTCTGTTAGGATTCCTGCAGTCTTACATGTTTGTTTTGAAGGACTCAGTCAATACTCCTCCCCATTAGACAGCAGTCAAGGGGATTCCCCTCTTCAAAAGGAGGGATTCCCCTTAAATAAAGGTCTAATTCACAATATGCACTACAACATTTTAGGGCAAGACTTGAAGAATGCCCAACAGAGATAATAATCTACCACAAAATGAAAATGGATGTAGGGTAAATCATTTAGAAAGGTTATTCTCTAAAGGATAATTATTGTTTAAACTCCCCATTCCGATCAATAGCCTAGTACATCCAATCTATTATGTGTAGCATAAGCGCAGGGGAGATGTCTTGAACATTAAACATGGCGTTGATCACCTCACTGGGGACTGACAGCATGTAACAAAGACTGAAGAACAAAAAGCTCCAGAGAGATTTCTCACAGGAGATGCAGGGCAGGCGTGTGGATGAAGCTCTCTTTCGGGATTTCAGTGAATTCAGACTTGACGAATGATCTGCAGGAAGGGACACGACAGACAGACAGACAGACAGACAGATCAGTTTTAAAGCATTCACTGTCTCATATGCGAGTAGTTATCACTCTGTTCCGTGTGTGTGTGTGTGTGTGTGTGTGTATGTGTGTGTGTGTGTGTGTGTGCAGCAGAGAAAAAAGCATAAAAAAGCTCCTGATATTAGGAATGAATGCAAAAACAAATATGACTTACAGTGATATGACATCGGGGGGGAAGCTGCGAGGGATCAGTCCTGCGCTTTCACACAACGCGTTATCTTTGGTACATGTACATGATGAGGGACAGCGGGGCTGCCTGGCTCTCTTGCTGTCCACTACAAGTAAAAGAGACGCCACTACGAGGAAGCCGAGCCACGGCGATCTTTTGGGCATCTTGCGTGTAATTTCCATCCTTGCGAACCGCTGCGGTCACGACCTGCGCGTCAAACAGCCCTGTACATGTACCAGGGTCTCCGCCGTGGTTCCTTTTCCACCGCTGCTGCTGCCTGGAGGCCAAGAGACGCGCCGTCCGCTCTTGTTTATCTCCGCCAAGAAGACCGTGCGCCGCCGCCGCCGCCGCCGCTGTGGAGGTGATTAAAACCGGGCGCCCTGCACGTTTAACGGCGCTGTAATTACACTACACCCCCGGACGAGAAAAGGAAATCAATATCCCCTGTGACAAAAATAAAAATCTAATCAAATTCACGCTGTAGTGGCTCGAGCACAGGAAAATACCAGCTGGCTCGATGACAGATGCGGTGTGACGGCAGGTGGGGATCCCAGCGGGAGCAGACGGAGCATCTCCATCCAGAACCACGCCTATGATTTCAGCAAAACGCCACACTCTCTCTCCGTGTCGAGCTCCCGGAGGATTCCGCCCAATAGGCGACGGAATGGTGTTAATTTTTTTTTTTCTATTTTTTTTTGGTGAATCAGCTGGAGAAAATGAAGCCCTGTCATGAGCCAGCGGATGGCTGCCTGTGGCGCAGACGCACACGGGCTTTCTATGCGGGAAGCGGGTGGGAAATCCGATGAAAATGAACTGCCATGATGGAAATATATAGTTTTTAGTATTGGCTCAGTGCGTCCCACAAGCCTGCCAACGCCCTGCCAATGCATGACTGTATTATTAATGTAATTATAATCTAAATTTTTTTTTGTGTGTGAACGTTTTGGGCTTATTTCCTGGTATGCACGCGGTTTCCATGGCGACCGGTGGATGCAAAATGTGGCTGCCCTGTGATGGAGGGGTGTGGGGAAGCCCTTCTGTCATCCTGACATCTGCTCTGCCTCAGTCAAATGAACCCCATCCCCCTCATACCCCTCACAAACAAAGGGCAGATTTTTGCTCCCATCCTGCTTTTCTGCATCACGTTTATTTCACTTTAAAAAAAGCCACATAAAAAAAGCCACTGCTTCCTTTCTTCTGTTTTATTGCCACAAAACATTGCCCTCACAGTTTTAGTGCAGTGTTTTTTCCTCTGTTGTGCCAGACATGATATGGGAACCATACAAGGACTTCTTCCTCACCATCTAATTTCTCTCCCTCCAGAGTTGTAAGATTAATATGTTTACTCACTGCCTGGCAGGGCTGCATGCGTCAGACTCTTCTGGGAAGAAACATGTGCAGCTGTTTTTAAAAGGTCTCCGAATAAATACATGCTGCTGAGGACCTCTGTCTGTCCCTGATTTGATTACACCATTTGATATCCAGTGTCTGTCAATACAATTCCGCCTGTAAAAATAAAAGCAGGGCAATTTAGAGGAGCAGGGTCGTGCTCTGGGAGCTGCTTATGGGAGGAGGAATAAATGTATTACCAGTCAGGGAGATGAAGGAAAGTGCTTAGCTCTGAGAGAAGAAGGGAACTCTGGACAAGGAGAAGCTGGAAGGAACAGAAAGTAACAGATGTCTTTTTTCATCAGCAGCTTTTGAACAAAATGGAGAACACTGGATATTATTGTTGTGCTGCAAGATGATGGGTAGTGTCTGTGCTTCATAAATGCCATCATTCATGGCCAGAATAGAACGCACACTGTTCAGCAAGTATTCCACCACAGCGATGTCCACTGCTATTGATACGAGTCTGGTGGCTCTGACTTCTGTTGATAGACTTTAAGATCTGTGTTTTTTGTTGTTTTTGCAACTGATAATTCATATATAACTATATTCATCTGCACACCCTCATTAATATGCACACATACTTAAAAAAAAAAGAGCATTTATTTAGCATGAAAAAATAAACATGTTTCCAAAGCAAACATTTACTTATTGATATGTTGTAGGTGGAGAAACAACCACTCTTCCCTAAGGGACCACTAGAGGGTAATGTAGAGCCAACATAGAGCCTGTCAGAGGTTGATTGATGTATGTGCTCTTAGCTCTTTAAAATGATTTACACCAGAAAAGGAAGAGCTTTGTTCTGATTCAAAATCAACTTTTGGTGAGAAAAAAGTTCATGTCCACACTGGAGGCTAAAAAAATAGAATCTAGCATCTTTCTTCTTTATTTTCCTGATTAGGAATTTTAAATTAGTTGTTGTTATAATTAATATGATTTTAAATCACTAGTAGTCTACTTGCAATAGTATGGTACACAATAGAGGTGGCCACCCTTCTGCTCTTCCTGTCGTCTTCCACTAGTGAAAGCAGCATATTAAGTGAACATACTGTTGTTTTGCTGTTTGGCCTTTGGACCTACATGCTGTCTTAAGGTGTCTTGTGAGTTCACAAAGCTGGCTTACCTGTGGTGACGTGACTGAGAGAGTTTTGTAACTGAGATGATCTCTGGTTCTTGCAGAAACTATAACGTTTGCTCCCCACCTGTCACCTGGCTGAGCCAATTATATCAAAGGGATGATCACTTATGGCAGTGTGTTATGTGACACACAGTGATGTACTATCACTGCAGGGAAATGCTTCAAATGTTTTCTTAGTAGCACAAAAGCTGATTTTAAGTAAACGTGTCATGTTAATCTCTAAAGTAAGATGCAGCAGGGAGGCAGAAATACCTTTTGCCTGAATGGGATCTTCTGTGGATATTCTCATATGACGCACCACAACATCTGTTAGCCATCCCAGCTGAGGTCAAACAACATCCCAAACAGTCAAAGGTTGAAACGCATGACCATGTTTGCATACTCTAAATAGCCAGTAAACCTCAACAAGACAGACAGATGTGCACCTTTGTAAAATGCAGCTTACAAGAGGGGCATTTGATGTATTTTCTTGTTCATGTACTCTGTTATGTTAAAGCTGGCGTAGGGATACATACCTTGGTTAATTAAAAACAGCAGTTCCAAATCAGTAACACAGGTCTCTTGTAAGCTTGTTAGCGTTTATTAAAAGTTGATGTTTGGTCAGCCCTGGCCTCCTAAACCCCTCTTTAGCTGGATCTAAGTAGTGAAAAGAGTGTACACAGAGGGGCGTTGGTCTTGCCTGGGTCCAGACCTTTGAATACGCCCACTCCACTGAGTTGACTGATTGCAGATGGAAATAGAGAGTAAGGATTTGATAATTATGTCTCATAACTCTGCAAATGTTGGTCGGTCATTGAATCCATTAGGCTGCAAGTCACAGTAAGGTCTTTCTACTCAGTGATCAGTGTGCTGCAGCTGCTAGAGCCTGACATTACATCCATACTGCATGAAATGAAGCGAAAAATGTATAAATTTGTGTAATTGCAACTTTGCAGATTTGCAGAATTATAATGCACAAAACGAACATCATTTGAAAATAATTTATTGACATTCTTACACATGACATGTGAAAGACATGAAGCTATTGCACATAAAATAATGTATTTAATGCTATACATGCATTGTAGAGTTAGATTTCTTTGCAAAAGTTGCATTTGCTGAGATTCAAAGCTCTTATGTTAAAAAACAAACAAACACTTGCATCATTTTTCTGCTATGTGCTACCAATGTCACAAGTTCTGTTTTGAGATGATTTGGGAAAATAAATCTTAACATTTTAGCTTCAATAAATCATAACATATGACACTGAATGTATTGCTTCACAGTTAAACAATGTAACATTTGACTCTCCATGCTGCAGTGTTTCCATATGACACCTTCCTGCGTCCTGCATGCCACATGTTCGCTGACTTATGAGCAGGGCGGCAGTATTTTTACTTTATGTAAGCAGGAGACTTAAAAAGAAAAGCCATGGGGCTCCAGTTGGCTTATAACCAAATCCAATTCAGTCAAATCTTCTTACATCTCTCACCCATTAGCTGGGGACATATGTTTTACATTATGAAAGCATTACTTGCAATAAAAAAAGAAGCAACTAGTAATTGTATGTATTAATTTTTTTTCTTAACAAAATATTATTAAGCATTTTATTAAGTATTTATATTCCTCTTTTCTCATAAATAACAACTTTAACTGCATCATATTTGCAGCCAAATTTTTCTATTGACATCATGTCCACAGCCAAAGAATGTGAGCTAAATATCCTTACATTGTTTTCAGTATAAATACTTAAATATGTACTCTTCTTAATGATTTAAATAATTATTTTAGTATATAAAAGAATAATTTTTAAGAACGTTTTTATAGTATCACATTCAAACTGTATGCGCTCTAGACTGCTGCTGATTAAAATCGTTTTCTGTATTACAGGACAGAAGAACTAAACATTATAGTTATAAAAATAATAATTGCTTCCCTCATCTGTGAACACATGCTCATGCACACACACTGTACAAATACACATCCAGTCAAACATTCATAAATGCTCAGATGGTCCTGGAGGTCTAGCAGATAACACACGTCTTTGTCTTCCCGCCATCTTGACCGGTAACAGGAACAAATGAGGAAGACAGTGAGAGCCAGGTGACAATGCAAATATGAGAATGAGCAGGAGGGAATGTGATTTCAAACATCTGCGCTCACCTTGTGCGTCTCCACCCTGCAGCTTTTTCTTCTCGTCTTCGATGGCCTTCATCTTGGCCTCGTGGACATCTGCGAGGGCTCTCCACTCTCCCCTGTTGATATTCAGCCCATTGAACATTGGGGTGATCTCTGTGTGTAAGCGAGAAAACTCCTGCAAACATGCAGATACATGCGTAAGTGCAGATACAAACATACAGATATTAAAGAAAAGAAGGAAAAAAAGAGGCTGCATTAAAAAAAATCGTATCTATAAGTTTTTGTATCTAGGTACCTTGTACACAAAGGAGCAGACAAAGTCAATGAAACCACACTGCATCTTAGGCAGCTCATCGGCATGGTTTCTGTCCATCATCGGCTAAAGAAAAAGAAACAGGCGGTGATGATTATTGTTATGACTTCATGCATAACATATAAATAAACATAAAAAAACAAAGTTTAAAGCTCTTACGATAGGCTGCTGATCAAGGACTGTCCTTTCGAGGTCTCCCTGCTCCCAAAACTCTGCTGCCACCATAAGAGCAACCTAGAACCACAAGAACCAATACAACAGTGAGCACAAATGGGTGAATGGTGCTTTCTAATTAAGCCTGACTAAGGGAACAAACCTTGCTCTGAACCTCCCATGGCTTTGTAATAGCTGACAGGTCACAAGCTGTCATCATCATTGCCCTGCGGAAAATACGACACCATTGAAGAACTTTTAAGACTTAAAGACAGCTAGGGCATCAACATAGGACGTCTAGAGCAATAGTCACATAATATAATTATTATTAAACTAATGTATAAACTATGTATTTACATGATAATTTCCTTCCTGGTTGCATTGTTGGAGACGTAGTTGACCTTCTCTTTCTCCTCTGGAATCCCCTCGATAGATTCCACAATTTTTTGGAACATCGTTCTCTTCCTGAAAGACGAGAAGGCTGTCAGACCTTTTCAAAAGTCCTCGCAAGTCATTAATGGGCATTAAAAGTGTTAAGTGCTGATGTTGAATGTGAGACAAACAGATACTATATACTCAGAACAAAACTCCTGACA